GACAGCTTGAGGCTCTGTCTCAAAAAAATAAAATAAAATAAAATAAGAGGATCTTCACCCATACTCATGATGATAATGTGACCTAAACTGAGGACTATAATTAAACTCAAATATCAGGGCAAGTAATAATGAAAAAAAACACCAAGCAGGCATGAGAAATGCTACACAGTGTGCAATCACTCAACCAATATTAGAAGGAAATGTCAGGAAAGGCAATTAATGTCAAACACAGCAAAAAGATGCTCCATGAGATAAAAAGGCATGGGGAATTAGGAGAAAGTGAGGTATTGCATGGCAATTCCTATGGGGAAAGCAAGAAGAGAGGCTTACTAGAGATAAGTTCTGAGGCATGTCACAGTGAGAAAGAAAAAAAATAAAAGGGGACTAGTAGGAATGCTAGTGTGAGAAATAGTAGTTGAAAGAAAGCAGATCCCTGAATGCCTGAATATATAAAGGAGGACTCTAGGACTATGGGAAGGCAAAAAAAAAAAAAAAAGGAATGTTAGAGAAAACAAGCATAATGAAAGAAGACAGATCTTTAATTAGGCACACTGACACAATCCAGAATCCAAAAAGCCAATGAAGATGACAAAAATGACAACAGTCATCCAGCATTTACATATCTGAGGCCAACATGAAAGATCCTCAAGCAAAGGCCAGGTGCACTGGCTCACATCTGTAATCCTAACCCTCTGAGAGGCCAAGGTGGGTGGATTGCCTGAGCTCATGAGTTCGAGACCAATGAGCAAGAGAGAGACTTCATGTCTAAAAAACAGCCAGCTACCCAGGAGGCTGAGGCAGGAGGATCACTTGAGCCCAAGAGTTTGAGGTTGCCATGAGCTATGATGCCATTGTATTCTACCAACGGTGACAAGATAAGACTCTGCCTCAAGGCTCTGCGCCTATAGCTCAACCAGCTAAGGCGCCAGCCACATACACCTAAGGTGGCAGGTTCGAATCAACAGCCCCCGACCCGCCAAACAACAATGACGGCTGCAACCAAAAAATAGCCAGGCGTTGTGGCGGGCGCCTGTGGTCCCAGCTACTTGGGAGGCT